ATTTCTTTTCATTTAACTCTCTCTTTCTTTTCTTTTCACAATTTCTTATTAGCTCTCTGTTTATTGCCTACTTGTTCTTGAAGTATCTTGAGTTTTAAATCTATGGTGTTTAGTTTCTTGCTCATTACAACTTGCCGCTCTACACCAGCTTATCACATGACGAATATATCTATCGGCCGCACTCGTACCTGCCGCAACACGGCCATTTCCACGAGATAATGTATAATGCTGTATAAAAAAAAAAAATTTAGATCCAGGCATAACCTCCCCCTGTCCACTCTACTTGCACGAGTGCGGTAGGATACTCGTACAGTAGATGGAATTTAAGTTAAAAAGGATCGTTGTAATCATATATTATTATACCGCACAAGTAATATCACCAAATCTACAAACTCCCTCCCTTTTTTTTAAAAAAAAAAAAAAAACTCATCGTGAGAACTACCGTATATACTGTACTATATGTATGTACTCGAGTACTCGTATGTACTCGAGTAAGATTGGCACGGTAGTCGTCATCCGCTAGGTTAGTCTATGATAGTCTTAGACACATATGCTCAAGAACGATTCGATCCAAGTCAGCACTTTTGCAAAAACATAAATTTAGACTAGCTGAAGATTCTCAGAACGATGGTGACAGAAGCGTGACGTTGGCAAGGGGGAGTACGAGTAGTTAGTAGGGTAAGGGTTTATCTAGTTTCAATTCCTTTTGCACGAGTAAATGGGGGTGGAGGGGGGGGGAAAACGGTAAGGATCAGCAATTTTACTCCGGGCCTGGCTGGGGCGCACGGGTGTCAACTAAATTTACAGTAACGATAGATAGTATGATGTGATAGGTGGGAGAAGAACGTTACGGTAAACGTCATCATCGTTTTCGAGGGCTCTACGAGTGACTTCTCACTGTCGTCAACTTCAATCAATCATCCCATCGTACTTAATCTAACTCACAACAACAACAACAACAATCACCACCACCACGAAACGGAAGGGAAGAAGCAGAGAACAAACAAACAGAAACAAGCAAAGAAGAAGAAGAAAAAGAACAAATGCCACACCAACCGCACCTCGAAGAAACCCAAGCGTTCGTTCTCCCCCCCCCTCCCAAAAAGTAATGAAAACTAACACAAACAAAACCAACCCAGAATCTCAGTCTTCACACCAGTAAACCTCCTCCTCCTCACACTGGCTCTGTACCTCATCTACACGCGCCTGAGGCCAAACCCGTCCCCTCCCCCGCCACTCCACTCATCTTCCGCAGCCGGCCAAGCCATAGTCTTCAAAACCTTCACGCCAAAGACCCTGCAGCCCTTTAACGGCACCGACAATGCTAGGGTGTACCTCGCCGTCAATCGCAAGGTCTTCGACGTCACGGCCGGCAAGGGCTTCTACGGGCCCGGCGGGCCCTATAGCAACTTTGCCGGGCGCGATGCGTCCAGGGGCCTGGCACTCAATAGCTTCGACGCGGAGGTGCTCACCGAGGTCGGCGCGCCCATCGACTCGCTGGAGGATCTGAAGGAGGATGAGCGTGTCGCGCTCAACGGGTGGGCCGAGCACTTTGAGGGCAAGTACTTGCTGGTTGGGAGGTTGGTTGAAGAGGGGAGTGAGGAGGCTAAGGAGGCGGAAAAGGAGGAGTAGTAGGGATCGGTTGTTTTCATCTTCGTTCAACAGATACCGGTATTTACTGTTTGTGGGTTGAATTGGCTCTTAGGGTTTCAATGGAATCCTGCTTCATATCCTATCAAGCTGTTTGGGGGTGGAAGTACCATATGCAATTGTTTTTCCCTTCCTGCAACCCCTGGAATACGCCTCTAGTCTCCATGATGTCTCTTCTAAGCTGCACGCTCACCTGTAAGGTCAAGTCACCACATCATTATTTCCAGAAAGTAAATCCTCAGCACCAAAAGTAGAGCCAAGCCTATTATCCCATCTATCTAATAAACCCCGCCCATTATCAACCTGATAATCCAATTTATATACAACCTTCTGCGCCACACCAAAAGACTGAAGACCTTTGGGGGTACTCAAAAGAACATCTTAATGCCCCATCAAGCCCAAGCATCCTACCCACACACACCGGTAGCTCTTGAGCGGAGAAGAGGCCAACTATACAATTCAAAATATGATGAAAACAGAGAAAGAGAAAGCCCAGACGTAAACACGCTAAAAAGTGTGGAGACGAGAAGAAAGAGAAACAGGTGGTGGGGGTGGAAGGGAAAGGGAAAGAAATGTAAAAGATGGTACATGCTCCCGCTAATGCATTCAAAACGACGAAAAAAAGGGGAAAAAAACCACACCAAGCGCCTTTCATACAAACGAGGTGCAAGAGAATGAAGTCGTTCATGTCCCGAACCTTTTTGTGTGACTCCTAATTGAGGAGCTTGTAGGATGCCTTGTCGATGACGTTTGCAATCTTTTCGACTTGCTTTTGAGCCAACTCCCAGTCTTTACCGGCCAATGCATCTCTGACACCTGGGAAGTATCCCGCGTCATATCCACTCCATGCCTGTATGCCGATCAGCCACCGAACCTCCAAAACGTACTATTATCGCGGGAAATTAACTTACTTCAGGTGCGAATACAACATGCTTGAACCACTCTCTCCCGGGCAATCCACCTCCCTTGGATAGATCTAGCAGATGTTCTTCAAAGTTACTCATTCGGGCGTTTCGGCTTTGCCGAGCAATTATTCCATTCGTATCTAGCCCTGTCCCAACGTAATCCATCCAATTTTCATGTTTCTCATCGAATTCCTTCAGTCTCTTCTCGGCAGACTCGACAGCATGCCTCAGATCTTTGAAATCCAATGGCTTAGTGTCAGGCGATTGTGTCCGCATGACCTTCCTAGCATGCTCCTCCAGATCGTCCGTGTATCGCCCAAGTGCGTGCGCGTAGTCAACCATATTAAAGGGCAAAACAGGTGTATCAGCTAGTTCTATAATTAAAACGCCTAGAACTTGGGCGATGACAAGGTGATGAATGAATCCTGGATCTCCGGTATTCTTCATCCACTCAAAAGTATCGTAGCAACTATGATATGGAAACGGGTCACCTGCGAAACCGATATCTATCGAAGAGACTCCTGCATAATCCTGAAAAGCAACATAATCGCTTCCAGCACCTAAGCCAGGAAGAAATTTGTCACCCCAGTCGCCTCGCAGCGTACCGTTTCCTGAAGGGCTTTGTATTCTTTCGAGGACATTGAAGAGCGGTTGCTGGGTGAGAGGCGATCCAGCAGCACGGAATTCTCTGCCTGATACTGCAACATCAAGGTTGATATATGCCATGCCATGCAGGCGGAGGTCATCAATATTATCTTCCACATATTCACTATGAGGTACTCGTTAGTAGGTGTAGGGACCATGACCCATGGATAGTGACTCACGTTGACCCAATCAGATTATACTCCTCCGCATCCCAATTAGCGAATATTATGCTCCTCTGAGGTCTCCAGCCCATTTCCAACAGCTTTCCAAACAGTCTAGCAACCTCCAACATCACTGCAGTTCCAGAATTAGGATCACTAGCACCAAAGCACCATGCATCCCTATGATTCCCCACCACAATACGCTTTGTGTGATCGTCGGAGCCCCGGATATATCCGAGGACATTCCAGATAGGATGCCGTTTCTCCTCGACTTGATCATTTTCCAGTTTGACTACAACGGATGAATCATTGATTGAGCCCGTCCACCACTCTTCGACACCTCGCGTGTCTCCCGTCCATGATTCTTCAACCTTGGACCCTTTACCCTTCAGCGATTGGAGAAGATGCCTCGCATTGTCCCAAGACTGTGAAGCGAGTGACAGGAGTCAGAAAAATCATTCAACGCGCCAAATGATGGGATAAGAAGGGCTTACCAAAGGCAATGAGGGGACCCCGACAAGCCCAGGGTTGTGCTCTAGTGGGATCCTGTCATAGCCCGGCTTGCTCGGTGTTCCCGGCGTCAATACATCCCCCACCATGAAGCTCATCAGGCTCACAGAACCCCTCTGCACAAAGCCCTCAGGCAGATCCCACCCCTCAGTCTTCGGATCAGAAAATTCAATCACGGCTGCCGCACCTCGTTCCTCGGCAGCCTTTACCTTGAGAGCCCTATCCATCTGCGTCCCACCATATCTAACCAAGATGATTGAGCCTGTCAGGTTGAGCCCTTGCGACTCAAGTTTGTCAAAGTCGGCACGGGCTCCGTAATTGGCGTAAATCAAGGGACCTGTGGCACTACCAGTTCTAGAATAACCATGGAAGACAAGTGTATTTTCACGATCGCCATTTGCCTTAGGCTCTTCAAGTGCAGCTTCCCATGGTGGGTCGATGATTGCAAGCTTTCTCCCGTTAGGCTTAGGGAAATTAAGGTAAACACTATACCTGTAGGTTTAAAAAAAGGCAAATTTGTTAGGACATTCCGATACCGAGTCGGAACATGAGAGCTGAAAAACGTACTTGTCGAGCCCCACACTCTCAAGCCCAAAGCTCCTAAACTCCCCTTCAACATACTTGGCTAGCACAAAATCCCCCTCAGTCCCTGCGGTATGGTCGAAACGGCTCAGGTACTCCAAGTAATGTGCGATATTATCCCTATCAATCGAATCCCTTATAAAGTCCTTAAGGGCGTTTATGTCGAACTCGACTATCCCACTAGCCCCCGGTGGTGGACTCAAGGTAACTGAATCCGACGCAAGCAACGCATAAACCACGATCAGGCCGACAATAACACCAATGACCCTATACAATGGAACGATGCCTTCACAGAAACATGGCAAATCCGGTATTCGAATACAAGAGAACCATCGAAAGGGGTTAATCCTCCAGTGGTGGGGTATTGATATGGCGGAGAGCGAGTCTGTTATCGAGGATATGCGTTTTGATATGTGCATCCGAAGTCTCCCTCCCCCTCGTCGTTGACCCTCCTCCCCCTGCCCAGGTTCCAGAATCTCCATCTCCACCATCACTCGCTCAAGACTCTCCCTACTTGGCCGCACAGAATCTTCGAACTCCTCCAGAAACGAGCTCTCTAGAGAACTCCTCGCACTTTCGACCGTCGGCTGCCGATACCGACCATACGAGGAGGCCAAGAGGTGTGACGCCTCCTCGTTGGTATGTGGATTGTCGCCGACATCGCTATGGGCTCGGGAGGATGTCGCCTCTTCGTAAGTCGGGATTGGAAGGGAGCTCCCAAGCATGGAGCGTTTTTCGTCGCTCATGCAAGCGGTATAACCTTTTAGGTTGCCTAAAAGAGTGAAAAGTGAGATTTAAAGGGTTTTTTGCTGAAGGAATGAAAGGCTGAAGAAAGACACTGTCACAGACAACTCATTCAAAGGGTAAGGCGAGTAGTATATAGTAAGTAGGTGGAAAGGAGAGAAGGAGAAAGATTATGGTAGTGGCAGCGTTTACGGCTGTAATGGTGAATCTGCTGAGCCAGGCGGAAACGATAAGCTTCGTAAAGGCGAGCGCAGGTTGTGGCTCTGAAGAAACGGGAGGAGTTCTGAAGGGTAGACAGACTTCAGCCCCTCGCTACATACGGTTTTGCCTGGAAAGGGGTGGAGGGGGGTGGTTCTCGAGATAGTTATCAGGGAGACACTTCTGAAGTTGCAATCGCGTCCCTAGACCATAAATTCGTAATCAAAGGGGGCGCCCGGAAGCTTGGCTTACCGCTCATGTCTAGGAATTGGTGAGTTGAGGAAGACATCGAAGGCTTCCATACTCCCAAGTCTCCAATGGGTCAACCTAATTCTAACCTACATGATCTCCCTGCAGACATCGATAGCTTCATGCAACTGTTCGCTCCCGAGTAAAACACTATTCGTGGTTCACAACAGACCATCACAATCTCAAGAGATGTGACTTTTACTAAATTTCTACCCATTCGATTGATAATAATAATTATTCTGGTATCATAATATTATCATAGAAAGTTAAATAGTCTATTCGGTACTTGTACAGTACCGATAGTATTGCACCAACTCTTGCAGCCCTTGATTTGTCCACTCGGAATGGACTATCTTGCGCACAACAGCTACCAAAGTATTAATTAAATTGTTTAACTACTCTGAGCTTCCCTTCCAGAAAACCCCTCGTCCATAGCTACCGTCCAACCTATCCGCAAGGCGGGAGATACAAATATCAAGTATTCAAACAGGATATCGATGGCTATTGCCCAGGTATTTCGCCTTTGATAAAAAAAACAACCCCCCCACTTTGCCATTGACCCCATTCCAAAACAGAGTAAATAAAAATAGAAAAACGAGAAAGTAAAAAAAAAAAAAAATGTAAAGCTCGTTCTCGCTTCGTTTCCCTGATTTGAAGGCATGAGAGAAGAGAGAGAATCGAAGCCGCATGCATGATTGGAGAAGAAAGAATAAAAAAAAAAGGAATAATATAAAAGAGCCGGCTTGATAGGTGAGATAATCAAGAAGCTTACAGAATGCTAGAAGAGAAAAAAGAAACAAGTGAAAAGGAGAAAAGGGGAAGAAAGGAAATTTTGGTGGTATGAGAAGTTAATCTTCGCATCATTCTATCCTTGCCAAAAATCATGGCCCACGCTAGAGAGTACTCAGGGGAAAAAAAAATACATCAAGTCATAAAAGCAATGTGATAAATGGAGACAATCAAACGAAATGCTAATACTGATAACGATACAGGTAATTGCGTTTTTTTACCTATTAATACACGGAAAGAACACGGGAATTAGACTCGTGCTCTCTTTCCTCTGGCCCTTCTTGGGCTCTCAAGTGTAGCAGATCCGTTCTCCAGACCCCGCTTTCTTCGCAGGTTCTTCTTAACTGGCGCAGTGACCAGTTCATCTCCATCCCCGGCAGCGTCGAAGATGGACCTTCGCTTAGACGCAGTCTTGTTCCCTGGGTTGAAGATACTGCTGTGTCCGCTGTCATCCTCAGAATCGGGTGTCAGACGGGAGATATCACGCTTCTCAGCAAGCTCCTTTTGCTTGCCCATTGCGGCAAGAGCTTCGGTGAACGAGGTAGCCGGCTGTGAAGAAGTAGACTCTTCAATATCTGTCTCTGCCTCCTCAACAGGGATCTCAGGCTCCTTGGGAGACTTTGGTGGAAATAGCAGGCGTGGCTTGATAACAGATCGTTCAAGACTTATCTCATCATCTTCTCCATCATCCAAGTCACTTGGAAGGCGCTCATTCGGATCTTCCATTTCGGTGAATTTCTTAAAGATTTTCTTGCCTCGGCTATAGGTGAATCAGTAAGGAGTTAAGCACGCAAAATGATAGGTATGGTGGGCCTTACAAAACATACACCATGCCATCCTCTCTGTCCTCATCTGCCCCTAAGGACCCTGCCTTTTTCTTCTTCTTGATCCTCTGCCTCTTGGAGGTGACACTCTCCTCTCCCGGCCTAGAAATAAACGGGTTGTCTGGATCATCATCATGTTTCGGGATGCGAGCATTGGAGTCTGTGAATATGCTTATGGAGTCTGAAGCAGGTCGCTCATCACCCAATAGATCCAATGATCCCATTCCACCTTTTCTCTGCCTGGAGGAGGGCTTTTTGAAAAGCGTTCTCCGAGCGCATGATAGTGAGGTCGAAGAAGAAGCCCTGGACTTAGACGACGAAGGAAATAGAACCCTCGCTGAACCAGCAATCTCTTCTAAATCAAGATGTTTTCGTTTGCGGGAGGGGGTCTTTGCAGGCGTAGGCAATCCAAATCCTCCCGGATTCAGCAGGGTTTTTCTATTCTTTCCAAGAATCTTTTCAATCTCATCATCCTGTTCCTCTCTCCCCGCACTCCCCCCCTTGTCTCCATCACTATCAATCTCAGATGACGATGCTCCCGCCGCCCCCTCGATAGCAAATGTAGCCCGTTTTTTGCCCTTGACGGTACGTGTTTGATCAGGCGAGCGAGGTGCTATGGGTGACGAAGGAGGTGGAGAAAGTGTTGCCGTAGAATAGTTTGACATTGAAGAGGTCCCCTTTCGCTTACCGGTACGCTGGGGTTCAGGCGAGGAAAACATAGGACCATGACGAGGGGTAGGGGGAGTCTTGGGCCGCCCACGAGAGCGAAGCCTTGGAGGAGTGTTCATGATGAGGATGAAGTTGTTGTGAGATTATTGCAATTGTTTGTTGTTGTTGTTGTCGTAGTAACACTTGAAGTTGGGAACCGAATGAAATCGAGAACGAGCGAACAGCAACCCCTTATCTGGGATATGGAATAGCAATAATAGTGCCGGGAAAAGAAAAGAAAAAATTAAGCAAACTGAATAAAGGGCGCAGCGGCCTGACGCAGAACAAAGAAACAATGCAGCGCAACGATAAGATGATGCGGGCACGAGCAGGTCTTTTTTTTTTCGGAAGAATGGTTTATGGGGGGAAGCGGAGGGGATGAGAAAAACAAGGGGCTAGGAGAAAGAGGGTGTTGACTCCTGTTCCGAGGCCACAGCAACGGCCGTTGCTCTAGCCACAACGGCACGCGTGTTTCGGATATCTCAACGCGCTTCTGCGCCCGTGACGAGTTTGCCTCAGACCATGATGTTCGCTGGCCGCAACCAGATACTGGTTCATATATAGATTAAAAGGCTCGCCTGAACGCCGTCTTCAGGAATACACCAGTTCTGTTGATATAGCCCGGAGTCTTACCGAGGAAAAGAAACACGACAAATGGTTTGCTTTCAGCTTTCCCGAGTGATATGCCGTGACAATCTGGTTTACGCGTTCGTGTTTGTGTCGCTTTTTGCACTAATTAGCGAAAGGGGTCAACGGATCAAGAAACTGGCGGTTCAACCAAAGGGCAGCCAAAAGGCCACCGGTGCTGGTATGCTCTTGGCTAACTATTAATCCGGTTCCCCTCTAGTGAACGGAATCTGCAGCGTTCTATTTTTTCTGTAGTTTCAAGTGTCTTTCAGGCATCTTTTTTTTTTTGCGGAGAGTTCAAGACCGGAGACTAAGCGCAAACATGTATCATACTGGACCTGGCTACCGAATGTTCAATTACCGGTACTAGTAAAAGTCACTGACTCCGCTTGAGCACCAATATACTGGCTGATTAAGCTGCGATTGTCCACCTCGATGGACAGAGGTGGCTGGCCTATGCGGGAGTCTAGTGGTTGTTGTGATCGCCACTGAGGGGGGGGGCTCGAGAGGTGGGGTCAGAGTTTCGCATGAAATGCATCGAAAGTATGTCTTCCATGTACTCGAGTACTCGAGTAGCATGTTAGCTGCACTCATAGATATATCTGTGGCCATGATATAACGCGTTACTGGAAAAGGGTTCACCAATATTTGTGAATGTAGACTATTGATATCATAGCAGTTCTATTAGTGAAGAGCTTCCAGATAGAGGGGTTGACGGGGACTGGGCTCGATGGGTTTATACTTTAGTTATCTACATGAAGTGACAGTGATATGATACTGTACATACTCGAAATAGGCTGGGAGCAGAGCCCCTACTATGGAATAATAGGGGGTTATTGTGGGGGACTGGGGGACACATCAATACCCTCAGATAATTGTTATTGTTATTTTTAAAAAAGAACCTGTGTCTGAAATAACCCCCTCTACTCAAGTATGATATTCAAGTAAATTGTTAGGGGTTTGTTATAGATATCATATTTACGAAATATTCTGGTTGAGGCGTAACTTAGTGTCTTTGAGACAAGGTGGAGGTTTTATGTTGGTGGGCATGTGGGCAGCAGCGATGTTAGCATAATACTCAGTACGGTATGTAGGTAGTGGGGTTAGTAGTGGGGCAGCCCCTGTCGTGGCTGATGCATCACAAGTAAAACTTCAATTCTCAAGAAAGTTCACATCAACGACAAAAAGCCCGGCTCAACCCCCCCATCACCACCGTCACTCTTCCCCATAATGTCCAACGAAGAGCCACCCCTCCGCCTCTCAGACCTACAAATTGACGACGAGGAGAAAGAAAAACCCGTCCGATCTGGTGCTGTAGAGCAGGACGAGCGCGAGGAAGCTCTTCGTGCAGAACTAGCCAGTGTACAACAAATCAATTCCGTCATTGAAGGAGTGGTATCGTCTTTAGAAAAAGCAAAGGTGAATATGGAGGTGGGTTTGAATTTCCGATCTCTGCGATCTCTGCGGGGTGGAGTAGTTAACCGTTGAGATTTGTTCGTGTGGTTAGACTGTTTCCACCACCGTCGCATCCGCGAACACTCTCCTTGACTTATGGATTCGTATATTGAGCCAGACGGAGCATACACAACGGTTACTGCTGTCTGGGCATTGGGAGGGCGCCACACAGGACTTGATCGATATCGAAGCGGAGGCCGCCGCTAAAGTTCAAGAAGCCGAACGGAGGCGGGAGGAAGAGAGGGAGCGTGCTGCTGCGAGGGAAAGAGAAGCTGTGGCTGCTGAAGCTAGGAGAGCGGCTGCTGAGAGAAAGCCTACTAGAGGGGCGAGGAGAACTGGTGGATCGGGAACTGGTAGGGGTGGGGGTTCCGGTGGGTCTAGGATCGGGGCTCCAACTTCCTCTTCCTCTTCCTCCGGCACTGGAACCGGAAGGGGGAGTAAGGGTGGAAGAGGGACTAGGGGAGGATCTGGGATTGGACGAGGCCTCCCAAAGAGAGGGGCTAAGTGAGGGCAGTGCGGAGACTTTTGAACAAATTTACGGGTTGGGGGTGGAGTTCTATCGGTTGCTCCTTCAAAGGAAATGGCTTGTTTTCATGATCGAGACCTTTTTCTTTTTCTTTTTCTTTATGGGAATAGGTGGGTTAAGGATAATATGGAGTTTGTTGATCGAACTAGAGGAAGGTATCTGCCTCAAATGAATAGATACATTTCGACTAAAAGTACGTGATTGTGCAATTTTTCCTGGTATCATATCTCTGCCCGATCGTTCGTATTTAGCAGTTGATGTAGTTTGTGGGGGGTTATTGGGCACATACCGTAGGGACTAGGATAATTGGGGATGACGCTTGAATATAGAATTTTCTCCTTTGGATCAAGGGGAAAGAAAACAGCGAAAAGATTCCCCTTCAGCGCTTTGCTTGCTAAAGCTAAGTTGGTATGGTTGGGATAAAATATACGAGTATTTGATATCCTTCCGCCCTCAGCGAAGACAAATAAAGAGAAAAATACAACACACCTTACTAAGAGGAGCAACTCCAACGTCCCAGTGAGATTCTTAATTGTTCTACGAGTAGTTCTTAAGTAATCGCCCAGGTGGTTGTCCACTAATACCGGTATTATGGTAACCCTCGGGGCCCACCAGTCACGTCGAGCTGCGGAAGATTTCTGGTTTGTATGCGCACGGGTAGAGGGCTTGGTATTATATCGCCCAGCTTCTGGCCTGCTTTTTATCTTCCCTGCAGACTACCTAATCTTCGACTCTTAATATCATATCATACCATATCCTGGGTCCTTTCGCTTTCCTCCCCCGTCAACCTTGGGGTGTCGGTTTTCTCAACCAGCATGGAGCATGTTGTGTGGCAGTTCTTGCCCCACCGCGGGCACGATACATACATTACCATATCAGGCCGGATAGTGCACGTGCATCCAACGAAGCTAAATCAACAAAGTGAGTAGTCTATCCTGTCAAAGCCAGAGCATATTTGAGCACCGTACACCTATTTTATACTAAGAAACGGCAGCAGCAAGAGCCGGCCTTGCGCTCCACCACATTTTCTTTCTTGGAGAGCCTCGGCTTTTTCCTTTTCCATGTGTGGGCATTACCGAAACCAAGGCTCATATTGACGTCGGTGCTACCGATACATACTCGAGTAAACGAGCGCATTATTGGTGTGCTTATTTTGGGTAAGAAAGGCCTGTTGTTGATGGGTTGAGTTGAGTAAGTGGTAAACGGAGTGGGACTGTTTTAATATCATTTAGCTTACCAATGGTAGGCTATATACTTGAGATCTTTGATATCGTAACTATGAGGGGGCACAGATTCCAACTTCATTCTAGCTTGTGGTGTTGCTGCGCTTCGGGAGCCTGTATTTGATACTGGAGAGGATGTGGATAGGTTATTCCCTGCTATACCTCTTCCCTCGCTGAGTTTAACTTCTGAACTTGCTTCCCATTTGGCTATACTCGAGTATTGACCAAGGCTAAAAAGCTCGCCTGGAGATCTTAGGTTGCCGGAAAATCAGGGCATACTGGAACTATAACGTAGAAGCTCTGGGTTCTTGATAGACTAACTGCGTGGTGGCTTTTTTTACCTTCTATCTGCGCATATAGTCGAGATATGTTATCATCCCTCGCCACCATTCCGGTCCGTGTGACACTTTTGGCGTATCATATCATACTCACCCACACAATCCACCATATTAAAAAAAAAAACCCCAGGCCCGGAAAGCTTCGAAAATAAAAATAAAAATGAAAAAAGAACCATCATAACGTTCGAATAGCGGGATATACCCACTCCCCTAGTTTCAAAGCCGAGTGATACACAGTGAATATGGAAATATAGTACTTATCCCATAGACAAGCAACCATACGGAAAGACGTCTTGAGCATGAACGCTGCGAAATATCGCACGCAACTGGGGAGACACAAAACACCCATACCAGTGTCCATGTTTCGTTCAGTCCCTAGCCACGTCTAATCCCTGAATAAAAGAGCTTAATCGCCAATATGTAGTGACAATACTGTACTGTGCACCCATCTCACATCTATCGTACACAGTCCCATCAACGGCTATTACTCTTCTCCCACTCTTTCGCGAATTATTCCAGTAATTGCCGGCAATGTCCCCGAGTCTCTACCCCCCCCGCGGCAAAACGTGCAGTGACAATACGGGAGTTATTATCGTGGGTTACAAACAAGCTTGGACAAGAAGAGACTTGAGTATTACTTCGATGATGTCTCATGGCCAATTAGAGTTTTGTGTTCTTGACCCCTTTCCAAAGGTGCACTTTTAAGGAGTAAGGTTGAGTCGATCATCATATCCTAGAGATCTATCATCCGATATGGATTACCAACGCCAAAGCTGAGTAAGAATGACAAGCCAACCTATGACACGAGTAGCATACCGGTACTGTACTCGTGCCTTACCCAACAGCTGCCCCACAATAGCGTACAATCTACGTAAAATACCTATAACCATTATTTAATCCTCTCCAACTCCCCACCGCAATCCTCCCATCAATAAAATCAATCAATCAATCAATCAATCGACATCAGCAGAATAAAAATAAAAAAAATAAAAAAATACACAATCAACATCAAACGATGGACCAAGAATTCTTCTACCCTTCGTCCCGAGCGACGATTCTGCACCACTACGTACTTAACCCTCCCCCCGGTTGGAGAAAAACTTTAGCGCCCTAGCTAATCAATCAAATCGAATGAGTTTGCAATTACTATATATATAGTTACCACGCTTGATAGCAATTGAGCACCCAGCCGCCATCAATGGCAATATGAAGAATACACTACTATTCGTCGGCGGGCTCGGAGATGGAATTCACACAATCCCTTTTGTGGATCCCGTGATCGACGCAGCTACCGGGGCGGGCTGGAGTATGGTGGAAGTGCTGCTTTCGAGCTCGTACAAGGGGTGGGGGATTGGGTCTATTGCTCAGTAGGTTTTTTGTTTACCCTGGATGGGAGAGGGAGGTGTTTCTAACGAATCTAGAGACGCAGAGGAGATATCGGCTTGCGTAAAGTACTTTCGAACGATTAGGGGAGGGAAGTTGGTGCTTATGGGGCATTCCACTGGTACACTATGTGCTCCCCGGGGGGGTTCATCGAGGGAGAGCGTTAATGAGTGGATAGGTTGCCAAGATGCGCTGGAATATCTGACCAAGCACTCGGCCGTCGTAAATGGCGTTATATTCCAAGCCAGCGGTAGATACCTCCCTTCCTCCTCCCCCACTGCTGACTGACACCACCACCACAGTATCCGACCGCGAATCTGCAACTCTGAACCGATCTCCAGACCACCTCTCCGCGAGCCTAACCCACGCCCGCTCCCTGATCGACAGTGGTCGTGGAGCCGAGATCATCCCCTCGCATTTCCGTTCTCCGGGATACACGGACACCCCCGTGTGCGCCCAGCGCTGGTGGGATCTGAACGCCTTCGCCGGCGCCGACGATTACTTCTCCAGCGACTTGAACGAGGAGATGCTGACACGCACGTTCGGGATGATCATGCGTGGCACCAACGTCCTGTTCCTCTTCTCCGCGATGGACCAATTCGTGCCTGCGTGGGTGGACAAGGAGTACCTACTCAAGCGGTGGTACTTGGCCTGCGCTTTGGGTGGTGCTGTCGTGGATAAAGTTGAGAGTGGGGTTATTAATGGGGCTAATCATAATTTTGAGGGGGTGGATGCTAACGTGCTGGCGGACATGATTGGGAGGGTTATTAGGTTTTTGGGAAAGATTTAGTTTATTATAATCTTGGTTCTTGTAGTCGGAAAGTACATCGCCAGGTCTTGGGTTTCCTTTTTTAGACCACTCGCTCTAATTGTTTTGTTCTTCAAGGCTGCAGAAATAGTCTCGGTATCTGTATTTTCAGTTTATCAGATCACACACTATTGGCATCAAATGATAGTCCATGTGTTAGTAGTAGCTTCGCATTTTATCAAATAAAGGTTTATGCCTTCAGAGAAACAGGGTTAGGTAACCAGCCCACAGTGCTTAAGAAATTTCCTAGAGTCATCTCGTGGAATCGCAAGAACCCCATCCTGAAATCACCCGATTAGAACAGTTAATATTGTCATCCCAACATTGTATTGATCCCCCAATTATTGTAGAAAATCTCTCCTAAGATTCTGTGAAAAGAAACTAATAACTACAGGGAGGGTCGTAGCCTCGTCCCCCCATCCCACCTTTTTTTTTCTCGTTTGAGGATGACATCAACGCCGACCGGCTCCTTACAATTGGTTGGCAGTATTAAAATCGGTGAGAGCTTCCTTGACACGGGCGCTCATGGTCTTTTCACCCTCACGGACCCAGACACGGGGACTATTCCAATGTAATCAGCTAGGCCCCTATTGATGAGAGAGAAAGAGCCTTACTCAAAGTACTTCTTGTTTGGCTTGTCTTCACCCTCAGGATTTCCGACTTGAGACGCGATAAAGTCCTTCTTGTTGAGGACGTAATCACGGATACCGGTCAAATATGCATATCTAGGGAGTGATTTTCAATATTAACCTGCAAAAAGAAAAAGAAAAAAAGTGGGGGGGTGCTTGGAAAGGGCTTACTGGAGATCAGTGTCCAAGTTAACCTTAACAACGCCATGTGAGATGCCAGCACTAAACTCCTCCTTGCTGCTACCAGACCCTCCATGGAAGACCAGGAAGAGGGGTTTGTCCTCCTCGCAGTTGATCTTCTCTTTGGCATAGGCTTGATGCTTTCCGAGGAGCTCGGGGTGCAATTTAACGTTTCCGGGCTTATACACACCGTGGACATTTCCGAAAGCCGCAGCGATAGAAAAGTAAGGAGAGACAGAGGAAAGAGCTTCGTAGACCTGATAGATATCTTCGGGTTGGGTGTAAAGGGAGCTGTTGTCGACACCAGTGTTGTCAACACCGTCCTCTTCACCTCCCGTGATACCAATTTCCTGCGAACGCATGAGCACTTGGGTAATTAGGTCTTAATTGTGTTGAGGAGTATACCATCTCGAGCCACTGGCTCATGGGAGCGGCACGTTGCAGGTATTTCTTAGTAGTAGAAATGTTCCATTCCTTGTCCTCCTCAGACAAGTCAATCATGTGGGAGGAGAAGAGAGGCTCTCCATGCTCGGCAAAGTGCTTTTCATCGGCATCGAGCATGCCGTCCAACCAGGGCAAGAGCTTCTTGGCGCAGTGGTCGGTGTGAAGGACGACCGGAATGCCGTAGGCAGGGGCAATTGAGCGGATGTAATTGGCACCGGCAATTGCACCAGAGATAGACGCAAACTGATCGGTATTCGAGACACCCTTTACAGTAGAGCCGTTAGTGGAGACGGGGGAGAATGATGAAGAGCAAGTACCTTTCCAGCGAAATAGGCAGCACCTCCCTGGGACATTTGCAAAATCAAAGGAGACTTTGCGTCCCTAGCTGCTTCAAGAGAAGCAACAACAGTTGAAGAAGAGGTAACATTCTGAAATGTTATTAGTTGGGACGATTTGTCAAATCGCGGGCAATGAATTCGCAGAACTTACGATAGCAGGAATAGCAAACTTGTGTTCCTTGGCGTATTTAAAAAGCTGTTTGTTTGAAGACGAAACGTCAGAAGTTTGAAATGCCCAATTGTTAAGTTTAATCCACTATTCTTCGGAAGCGGAAAAATATTGATGCGACAGGGCGCGGGGTTCGGGACTCACGTTCAAAACGTCATCGCCAACAATGACGCCAGACTTTCTAGAAAGGACATCGAGAACACCCATGTTGACTGACTGGCTGACTGATCGATCTAGGATAGAATAGCAATTGTTGTATGTTAGTTTTGACACTTGTGAATTTTTACTCGCGCAGTCTCAGATGCTTTTTTGTCCCCGCTGGAGGGAAGAATGTGAATAATATTCACTTGGGAAGCACATGTACACAGAGTAAAAAAAAGAGAGAAAAGAGAAAGGAAGAAAGGAAGGGAGGGAGGGAGGAAGAAATGCAGTGAGAGAGAAGAGTAAAAACTTACAAGAGATAAGTTTGATTTAAGTTTAAGTGGTAGATGGAGGAAAATCTTAAGGCTAAGGGTGTTGACTGGGGAAGAATAGAGGAAGAGAGAGATTATATATGGCAGGGGAAGAAACAACTGTTGGTGGGGGAAATGTTCCTTTTGTAACTGGGTTGGAAAGGCTTGGAACCTTGCCCGTGAGGAGTGGTGCGGCTATGGTTTGCTTTTACGTTAAATGCTAGAATTATGATACTGTCATGCTGGAAAGTTCATCTACGAACTTAAGAGATGGTGGCGAGCGCGAATTCTTCTTGCCTGCAATTATGTACGTAAACTATCTCATCCCATTTTTATTTCTTCTGCGTGGGCGGCGAGATGAGCGCACCGGATCTCGGCGGGGAGATGCGATGTGACTTGCCCTTACTCCGATAAACGTAACTTTTCATCCTAAAACCTCTCCCCCACGTTTGAATACAAGGCGAGACCTGTGTGGTACAGTACAACAGCGTCGACTCTAAGAGAGCAAACTAAGACAACGACACAACTTTTGTACAAATGACTTAAGCTATTTTATGTGCATATACGAGTAGATTTATCAAATAGTTTTTAGTCTGCGGAATGTGAGGCTTAAAGCGGAAATCAGAGCGAGCCGGGTTTTGTGAGGGAAAGAAGGGTGAGGAAGATTATCCTAATGGATCTCTAATGGATCTGATCGCCGCTCCACGGGGTCACCTATTGTTTCCTATACCTCCTCTTGCTTCACAATCATGACCTTTCGTCTTACGAAGTCATTTGCCCCCTTCACGCTGATCTCGAAATCAAACGTCCCGAGTGACTTAAGCTTGTCCCCCTCTACGCCCTTACCTGCAAACTTAACATTTTCAGGAGTGACCACGATTCGTGATCCCTCCTTTCCGTTTGCCACGGCAATATTCCTTACAGCAGTCGCGATATCGGTGAGTGTAACTGAGCCGTGAATAGCAGATTCATTTGGAGCGATCGTAGAGCGGGAGAACATGAGGTTCGGAGGAAGATATGAGTCAAGAAGTGCAATTGTTTGCGTAGGCTAGCAGCAACAAATCAGCACAGTCCAATAATGACCTCCTAGCACGACCAAAACTCACTGTAAGCAGTTCAATCGCGACCTTGGGTTTCTTCTTCTCAACCGCAACGTTCATGAACATGGGATCTCGGGGCTTGAGGGTACCAGCTGGCATGCTCTTCAGCATATGCCTAGTAACATAGTCCGCTACCCCTTGGGGAAACCTGAATACAACTCAAGTGAGTCAAAGAACCCAGACCAGCTCAGGTATCAACATGCTCTGAGTGCAATGAGGAATCAAATTCGAACGGGAGCCGAAGTATACCATTCCTCTACAATCATTAGCAGAAGCTCAAATAGGGACGGGAGTCAACATGGGCGTACCTCTCATTCTCCCCCTCGAGGCTTGTAGGACAGTCCCTGTGAGTTGTTAGTTGGTTCCGCCTTATGCCTGAGGTTATACACCGAGTGATTGCACCTTTTTTGCCAAACTTTGGAACATCCCTCGTCAATTGGACAGTGATTGTAGGAACCTTCCGAGTCCTTTTCTTGCCTCGAATTTGTTGAAGCGCCCCTCCAGCTAAACGGCGAATGCATGTTGGACACGAAGGTATACTAAAAAATGCCATTGTGGTGGGGTGAGGGGGAGGAAGGGGGTGGTTTCGCGCCCAGCACGGGTCTGGATGATATGGAGCGCTCTACCCTGAATTTTCAGAGCCCTGCCCACTCCAGAAGCCCAAAATAATCAAACGCTCCCTTTTACTGGAAAATGCCCTCATGTTACATTTCAGGGTCAAGTGGAGATCCGCCAGAGAATATTCTTTGCGAACTTCCATACATGAACTAGCGCTCTGTTATTTCTCGTGATTACAGAGCCTCACCAGAGGAATTGCTGTATGACATCCGAGATCTTCTCGGACGGGTTTCAGACTCCCGGCGCAACATTCACCCTTTGTCAATTTGGCCCCGCCCACCCCCATAACCACCACTTCCTGCCCCAAACGGCGAACCAGCCAAACAATGGTGGCTGACAAAGGCTAACATTCCCTTGCCCGGACCGATGGGTAGATATTTTCATTATGTCGGAGTCCACTCCCCGAATCCCCCCTTCATCCTCACCTGTGCCCCTCACCCCTCCCCCTATCTTTCCCCCCGCGAAACCTGCCCTGTCAGGTCTTTACCCCTCGAGATCCCCGCTTCCCGGACCAAGACTGTTCAATAGTGGGGAGAAAAAAAAAACCCTCGGTATTCAACCTCCTGTACCAACACCATCACAACTATCATACCTCCGCTATTGGACTGAATTCTATGGAGCGGTGATGAAATTCGCCCCATTCATTTGGTTCCCTTCCCTACACACCCTGTCGCCTTAGGACTCGGGAAATCACAGGAGAAAGTTTTCCCGAAAAAATCAAGGGCGAAAGAACAATCGCGATGATACCTTCTTCGGGGGACAAGCAGCTCACTCTCGCATACGCGGCCGGGGCCTCTTTGGCCGCAGTCACCCTGGTCTATGTCTTTGGCCCAACTTGGCTCATTGATTCCTCCAATAACTCTTCAAGTCAGCGACGAAAAGGGGTGGTTGGTTTGGTTAACACTGCCAATGATTGCTTCGTATGCGCCACGAAAAAAAGTCCGTTTTGTGGAGCGCCCAGCTAACCAGTCGAAACAGATAAACTCAATACTCCAGGCATTAGCTGGGCTTGGGGAACTAAGAGCTTATCTTGTTCAGCAAACAAGAAACGCAAAAGCTAATAGAGAATTAGCCAGCTATGGCTTAACAGTTGATCGCAAGCCATTTCTCACCGGAGCTTTAAAAGATATACTTGATGGTGGGCCTCATAGAGAATCAATGGAAATAATTGGTGCCTAGACTGACCACAATCCCTAGGTCTCAATGAGCGACCTATACGCAAGAAGACAATATCCGCACGCCCTTTCTTGAATGTTTTGGAACGAGTTTTTCAGCAGCAGATATCCCGGAGCCAACAAGATGCTCATGAGTTCTTGCAGGTTGTTGTGGAAACACTGGCTGATGAGTACCACCAGCAAAGGAAAAGGTGTCAAGAGGCTGCGAAACTACGCATAGAAAATGAGAAAGTTTTACAGAGCGCTGTTGGGAAATTTGAGCACGACAATGAGGAGGAATCTGAGAAACCCCGAAGGATAGATGACTTAGTAATTAATGTAGAGGATATAGACAAAAAGGAGGACAAGAGAGAACCTGAGGAGGGCGGCATGCCGATGGAAGGGAAATTGGAATCTGAGATTGAATGCTTGAAATGCCGCTTTAAGCCAAAACCTTCGGTCTCTACATTTGTGGTGCTCACGCTGCCAGTTCCTCAGAAGGTATCCTCTCATAAACCCTATTGCATATTTATCCACACCATCCTAACTCTTTCCTTTCAGACTAGCACCACCCTCTCCGATTGTATAGACGGAGTCCTATCCACAGAGCACATAGACGACTTTACATGTGCCAGGTGCCGACTCCAACACGCCCTCGAAACCTACTCCCTCAAACTAGAAACCGCATCTTCAGACCCAGTCAGGAAAGAGTTAACCTCTATTATTTCAAAACTCCAACAAGCCATCGAGACAAACCCCGAGAAGCACCCCGAGGGCATTGAGCTCCCATCCTCCCAAATCGCTCCTAAATCCCGAATCGCCCGACGCACCCGCATGTCCCATTACCCCACCATCATAACCTTCCACCTCTCCCGCTCAATCTACGACGCCTATTCGTCCTCCCGCAAAAACAGCGCGAGAGTCTCTTTCCCGGAGGAGCTAAAAATGGGCGGTCTCCTGGACCGGAAAGGGTACAAACTCCTCTGCATGATAACCCATAAGGGCAGTCACGACAGCGGGCATTACGAATGCTTTAGACGGCAGATTGTGCATAGAGCACCATACTCGACGCCTACGCCTGTGCCATCCTCACCCCCCACGCCGATCCCGTCGAGCCCAAAAACCGGGTCAACCATTAGATTGGTACCAGTGGACACGAAGGAATCAGCGAATGAAAGTCTAGCACCTTCCTCAGACATCCAGACCCCAGGCGTTCCCTCGCCATCGTCGGATTCATCTTCGTCGTCGTCCTCGACATCGTCGAATTCCTCCTCAGCCTCAGATGGCAAATCCACACCTCCTCTCTCTTCGATATCTACCCATCCGAACGGAGATTCAAGCCCCGCAGGGCCGACCAATTTGGACGCTGTCGAGTCTTCCATTCCTACTTCCTGCCTACCCCCTCCTGCTTCCGCATCCGGTCCCGCTCCACCACCACCAACCAAGACCTCAACGACGACAAGAAAGAGGCTCAAGAAAAAGCACGGAAATGACAAGTGGTGGAGGATTAGTGACGAGAAGGTGAAAGAGGCGAGGACCTCGGATGTGCTCGGGATGCAGAAGGAAGTATATTTACTCTTTTACCAACGGAACTGCGAAGAATAAATAAGAGGCAACATGGGCTGTATTATCACCTCCTTCTCCCCCTCCTTCTTTGTTTCTGTTGGTTCGGTTTTGTAATGAACATGTATGTATATAGTCACCTGTATCACAGGATTCCCGAGTTGGAAAGCTCTTAAAGAGGATGGTGTCGGCAATATGGTTTGCTAGTGGATATAATATTATGATTGAATGCAGCTATTATGTTCGAGCACCCTTTATACCAGCCATCCTCCCATCGCACCTCTACAGGTACTGTACTGTGCATATCAAGTTTTGTGGAAATTGTTAGTTAGGCATCAAGGTCGAGCAGACTCATGTTTTTTTTTTTTTGCCACCCTTTCCTCTACGATGGCACCTCGCATTACAGTAACGGAGCTTTGGAAGGTTCACCTGCACAATCAAGTACCGGCACAAGGTCGCATCTTGAGAAATCAGCATTGTTCCTTCCATCCCTCTAATTTCGTTACACGTACTCGTACACAGGCTTTGCAATGGCCGATACCACAGACTCTTCAGTGCCGAGTCTGAAAGGTACAAAAGGTACAAAACGAGAAACCAGGTAGGAGGAAGGAAAATAAATAGATATCCCAAGACCCTATAGCAAGAAGAAAATGGAAAGAAAGAAAAACTACCCCCAAGCTAACATATCAGAACATTTACATATCAAACCACAAGGCAATTCTGTCACGGCAATCGTCAAATTTCCAGCCGACTACAAAATAGAAACAAAAAAACCGTCAGCTACAATAGACCTCTTCCAAAAAATATTAATGAAGCTCTGAACTTACATCCCACGATTGAGAACTGCTCTCCATTGAGCTATGAAGCCTTCGAGCGGGTTCTTCCAGAAATCGTCTCTGCGCTACTAGCCTCTGGTTTTGCCGCCTCATCTCGTTTCTTGGCTTCCCTCTCTGACTTCTTCGGACGACCCGGACCTCTCTTCTTTGGTGGAGAAGCAGCGCCATCCGCACCATTTCTTGCCCCACTATTCTCCCCCTCGCCATCGGCAGCATCTCCAGCAAGCTTCGGTTTCTTAGTTTCCTTTCCAGCATCCTTCTCGGCTTCGGCTAATTCCTGTGCAGCGGGTTTCTCCTCGTCCTCCACACGATCCCTCTTCTCGCCTAGCTCGACCTCCTTCTTTCCCTCCCCGTTTGCGTTACTCGGCTCCGCAGCTGCAGCAGCGGACGAGGATGTAGCCGAGTCATTGGCAATGTCGGTCGACTCCTTGGTGGGTTCGCTTGCTCGTTTGACGACATCATTTCCGTCGCGCGCTACATGACCTGCAGTGCTTTGGGTCAGCGTTCTTGTGGACCCCCTTGCCCTTCAAAGTTATTTCTAGGGAGTCATGATCCTTTATTTCTGCCACAGTCCCCGTAGGGTGCCCAGATCCCCAATTCCGTGGGACTAGACTTGTGCGAATGGGGAGAGAGTAGTGCTCTTATAAGCTCCCCGACTAACTATCTCCCCGCTTCCACTTCCTAGTCGATAGGTAATGGGCAATTTGCTTCCTTGGAAGGAGTCACAGGGGAGCTTGAGTCGGATGGGATGATGGAAGGGAAAGGCGGGTGAAGGAGATGGATAGAAGGCCTACCTTCATCGCCTTCTTTAAGGTTCTTACCGGCCATCATTCGATGTGCTTCTATGGAGGACAAGTAGTGACGATGTGTGATATAGAGATACGAAGGTCCTAGATATGGGTATGCTTGATCGGAAACTACTACTGATGAGGAATCGCTTCACTAGCAACGACAGGGCTGGAGTACCGTACAGGAGAAGAGGTCGGTAATTTTTTAAACAAAAAAAAATTGGGGGGGAGGAATGAGGTTTGGAAGGGGTCGGAAACTGGAAGGGAGACGCTTTTAAATGAGTGCCTCTGAGAGAGAGAGAGGAGAGAGAGGAATACGACACCAGGTAAAGACTAATAAGCAATGACGGAACCAGACACGCCAACAACAACCTGGGGTGTGTGTGAGGGAAGATGAGCGCTCATCATTGATCACGGCTTGCCTGCTTGCTTCTTGCTCGCCTGCTTGCTTGCAGCCCCTCCATCCATCCCTCCATCCATCCACCCCATCCACCCATCTCCTTACACCACCTCCCCAGCAAAGGTTAAAAGTAGGGCAAGGTAAGGTACTGGGCTAAACAGGAATAGTCGCAAAATATCATACGGGGGGGAGAAAATTACCCAATACCGGCAGTCATCATTTCACCTTTTTCTAGGAGCACATAACTTTTTCAACCTTTTTGGGGAATAAAAATAAGTAAAAGCAAGTACAGTATATATCAAAAGTCGCCGAAATGGTAAAAAAAAATGTACCCCGTAAGCTCTCATACCTTACCGTACTTACAAGCGCGGCAACAAATTATTAGAAATGTGGGTGGGCGGCTTATAATACATTAACGTATGGGTTCCTACTTATAGTTGGACGGACGGCTGGATTGGATAGGATACCGTGGGATAGGACGGGAACGGGGGACGGTGACTGGGGGGGAGGGGAGGTATCATATGTTAGGAAAAAAGCCAGGAGACTTTTTTTTTTTTTTTTTTTCTTTCTTTCTTTCTTTCTTTCTTTCTTGGAGGCAAAATGAAAGGGCAAAAACGAGAGAGGAAAAAAGGAAAGAAAAGAAAAAAACCTCTTTTCTTTCTTTCCTTCTTTTTTACATCTACTCGTATCATACTCAATTGCTCGGAGAGGAAAGAAATAAAGAAATGAAGCAAGACACCAGTGGAGAAGGCTTCGCTTGTATGACATAACATCGGTATTATGTTGTATGCGACAAAGTAAAAAAATTACCATGATACTTCTAATCGGAAAGCTGACCTATGGGCGGGGGGGGGGGTTAATTGCTTCTAAAATGTCAAAACCCCTCATGATAATGAATGCGAATTAACTTGGGCTCCATGTGCCGCAAGTACTGGATAAGGAATTCAATCATCCCGATCAGGAAAGCTCTCCAAGAAAGAAAAAAGAAAGAAGGGTAAAGATTTTTTTTGGAAGAAATATAATTAATTCCCCACCGGAGCGGGTACTAATACGGTAGGTAGGTCAAGTATTACAGTACAATCGAGTATGGTACTTGCACGGTACAAGTACCCTCATGGCACCCCCAATACCGAACAACATGGATATTTCAACTCGCCACAACATCTACCCACAAATGGAATTCCTTCTGTAAACTTTTTTCCCGATCGGTTATTGGGGCATATTTACAGAGCTATTTTTCTTTTTAGTTTTCTGGTGTACCGTAGTGGCCTCCAGAGATTGTATGGGAAAGAGGACAGTGAGAATTGTATGGGGAAAGAAGAAAAAAAGACCAAGGAACCTTATGACTACCGGTATGATAGACACTGGCAACCGACCACTACTGGTCTGGCTGTTAGGACCAGCGTCTGGCGTTCTCGATTCGACCAGAGACTTCAGGACGGGTGGGTTCTGAGTGCCAGCACCAGAATTAAAGTGGAGGGGACTCAGGACAGAAAGTTCCATGATACTCCAACGATAAAAGTACAAGTACTGATGGGCTCAGTACTGTCGGAACCTCCAATCCCCCTTGCTTGGCTTTGGCTTACGCGTATTTAGCAAGTTAGGGCATCAAAATCGATGAGACACCCTGATCGATTGTCTGCGCATTCCTGTTACTCCTCGAACCCATCGAGCCAACATACATTTCCCATAAGATGATTCGATGCCGTGTGGTATCATACAAGTATCATACCCGTCAAGTTAAGCTAAGTTACGGTAGTCCAAAGGTTTGGCCCGGGACATAGTAAAGCCAAATATGATAGAGCCCCGTATGATACCGCCGCTTTGCGGGCTATCATAACCAGAGATTCACCCCGTATCATGTTATCATAGCCAAGCCTGCCGGTACCGGTGCCGTACAGTGCGTGCTCTAAACCTCCTCCCCCACCGCCTAAAAGGTGGTTAATTTTTCCGGTATCATACCCCGAATTTGTTTCCGAGTCAAGGAAGGTAAAAACTTATGCCATTCAGTAAGTTATTATCTCCTGACTGTCCCTCATAAGCTAACCAACCTTTATTCATTCACCTATGATACCTATCCCAACCAATCCCAATCCCAATCCCCAGCCCCCTCCTCCCTCCCCACCGAAACAACTCTTTTTTTATTATGTTGCAGCTGGCGGGTGCGGTTGGTAGGTACAGTAAAGTACTTAGTAGGCAAGCCCGGATCCATCAAATCGATCGCACAATTACCAAAAGTTGGTACCTACCGCACTGTACCCTTACCCGATCCGTGATCGATCCGGCGTCCCCGCGCACGCGTATCGTATGTGAGCGGGTGTGTGTCTGAAAATTCGGAAACGGAGGGATTGATTTCAGCGTTTTTTTTCTTTTTCTTCTTTAGTGGCCTCCAAGTAAAGTGCTCGAGTACCGGCACAGCATCATGGTCCTTGCGTCTGGAGAGTTGCGATGGATGTGACGCAAGATATTGGGGGTACGGTAGGGCTGGGGGTTTAGAGTATGATAGGATACAAGTTCTTGGGAAGTGGGAAAGGGATACAAGTGAATTGCAGTATGCGGTGAGGGTTGGGGGGGGGGCATGTGAAATGCATTAAGCCATGACTTGGGCTTTCTGCTTCGCAATTCGACTGTGGGGTTGGAATGCAGCGCAAGTTAAGCGGAAGGGGGAAAGAGAAAGAAGATAATTATTTGTTTCCCTGCCTCTTTAAGAGAGAATGATTAAGGCGTCGAATCTCTGTGGTATCATACTGCATGGGCACGATGGGTCCATTTCGCCAGAAGCCTGGCAAAAAAAAAAAGATAGGGTTCGTTGCTGAGCAACACAATTATTATCATATCATACCGTATGACACTATAAATCTTCTTAACGAATGAGTGTTCCGCTGTTTGGAGGATGCATACGATACTTCACTCAAGTCCGTTTTCATTGAATAGACGAAACATTTTCCCACCATCAAGTTTCTTGCGGGGGACGGTGACCGCCCGTCCAAGGAACTTGTCCAGGGAGTTCTGTCTCACCGGGTGAGCTATCTGATGGTCTTTTTTCAGCTAGGGTTGCAGAAGGCCTCGATATGCGCCTTTCTGACCGAGCTTTTTCGGGCTCCTGTGTTTGTGCAATTACTCGAGTAGATCCCATCTGGAAGAACCGCTTCTGTCAAATCTCTCTTTTGGAAAGAAATATATGTCCTTAACGGAGGTGACGATATTGCGGGAAAGAAGATTTCACACTCTCAATTTTTACCTTCCGCCAGGTATCTCATATCACTGAGGGAAAAAGCGCGTCTTAGAACTGTTGAGGAACAGTGACTATGAGTTCGGGGGTTTCGATGCAGGATACGTGTTCGGTTTTCGGTGTTTCGGTGTTCTGTCTTGCCAACTCGCAAAAGCAGGAAAAAAACACATCATTGGGAAGAAAAGAAAAGGTTGGAGATAGCAGGGCGGTTCGGGAGATAGATAAACCCGCTGCTGTAGAGCTGATGTGATATCATACTCGGGAAATTTAAAGAAGCTCTCTTTGAGGGTGTTTTTTAGGTTTGAGTGGAAAACCCTTTTCCGTCTGGGAATAATGAATGAATAATGGTGATATTGTCGTCAGCGGGTTAAGAAAATCTCCCGGATGGGGTAACACTGTGTAATTGGCGCCCTTAAGTGGGGAGCTTGGAAGAAAGTAGAAAGAGCCTCGTTGGCCTCGTGCCCTAATTCAAAACACGATGCACAAAATGCGCAGAATAATCCTTGCTGTTAAGACTTAATGAGTCGAATATTCAGAAAGAATTGGGCCCATTTTTTCCCGTTGCGGTTCGGGGTTTTTGGATGCACTGCACTGCACCTCATCATATGGGAGGGTGACGAGCCGAGCTCACAAGGGAAGGGTAATTCGATGTGATAAGATGTAGAGTAGAGTAGAGAGAGTAGAAAGGAAACAGGCAAATCGAACCCGTGACCGCACAATTCGGGGAACAAAGGGCAATCATGCGATAGGTCAACATCAGGAGCATAACTTTCCGTACCGGTACTCAATTATCAATATGCAAACGGTTGATACTACATCACCACCATCTACAAGTACGAGTAGGGTGCCAGTCTTGACTTCGTTGTCCCTTCGCAAGGTGAAGTTTTACCTTAATACAGTAGCTGAGAGCGGCGCAGAGAAAGACGATAGAACGACCTAAGGGTTACGTAACACAAGGGAAGGAGCCCGAAAGCATACAGTAGCCACAGCAGTACCGGTACCACTCGAGCCTGGAGGCGACCCTTCCCATTTCACCCACAAGAAACGAAAGCCTTCTTTGCTTCCCCAGTGCCCCCCCCGGTCAAATTTACCCTAAGAAATCGAGCCAACCCATCGCCAGATCTAAAGAAACCCAAACCACGCCTACCCTTCCCTCCGAACTTCCTCCCCCCTTCCCTCCGCTTCCGTCCCCATATTTTCCTTTCCTGTGTTGCGGCTACTTTTCTCTTCTCCACGGGTCTTCTTGCCTTGCCTCTCACACACACACATACACATCAAACCAAGCCCTTCCCGGCTTCGTTCCTCGCTTGATCTATTTCTCCCCAATTCTCTCCAACCCCCCCGTTCTTGAAAAATAAAATTTCTGGGGCTTGTTGGGATCTTCGTCATCCTCTCTCCATATTTCTACCTCCATATTCCCTTTCCTTTCAATTTCAAACCGCATATATGTCTGAAGTGCAAACACGTCCTCCCGTCCATCGGGGTAGAGGCTCCTCTCGGGGTGGTCGCGGTGGATTCCCCAGACCTACCCGCAGTTCACACACAAATGGAGGCAGTAATGCTTCTTATGATACTTCCGATGATCAGGGCGAAATCGGTCAGCTAAAGAGACAGTATGCTGCCGAGTTGTCGCGGTTGCAAGAGATGTTCCCTGCTTGGACTCCCGATGATATCGTTACTGCTCTTAACGAAAATGGAGGCGACGTTCAACTCACTGCATCGAAGATTAGTGAAGGTCTGTGCTCCTACCTGTGTTAGATTTTCACTCTTGTACCTTGGAAAAGCTAGCCCACTTGTGTCAACCCTTTCATGTGTCCCGTGTCTGTGTTACGGTGTAGGATTTAAGCTGAACTAACTCGTGCTTTGTCTAGGTACGACCGCTCAGTGGGGTACAGTTGAGAAGAGGTCGAAGGATCGCTCCCGGTCCAAGGTCAAAGAGCCATCTTCCGCCGGAGCCAACATTGACTCGTACCCATCTGGCTCTCGTACCCGCGGAGGCAGAGCTCTTCATGAAGGTGGACGCAGTAGCCGTGGAAGCCGTGGTGGATCCGAATTTCGTGCAAGCCGTGGAGGCCGCAGTCGTGGAGCCAATGGTAGGTCACATCGATCCGGGGATAACGCAAAAGAAACCCAAACCTCAGCTAGAGCTTGTAGTGCTTGTGCAAATACTAAAGTAACGAACCCAGATGACAAGAAAGCCACCGATTCCTCCGTTCCTACCTGGTCAGAAGAAACGAATAAGGAAACAGAAGCCAATGGAGCTTTTGAAAACTCTTTCGTCCCCGATACTCATTCAGAAGCTTCCAAGTCGACCCCTGATCAAGTACCACTGCCGGTACCTAAACCTGCATCGGCAGCCTCATGGGCTAGCAAACTATTCAGTAAACCAGCACCTCCGCCACCGGCTCCTGTGCAGAAAATCACCTCTCCTCCCAAGCAATCCCCCGTCCAACCTGAGCCTGTTCAGTATCCAGTACCAGAGCCTGTCGAGCCTGAGCCCGTTGAAGGGAGCATACTACCCCCTAAGGAAGCATCGCTAGAGGTACAGCCTGCACCGGCGACACCGGAACCGGTCGAACCCACCCCCGAGCCTGTCGAGCCTGAGCCTGTGCCGGAACCAGAGGAAGAGGCCGTTTCAGAGGCCCCAGAAGTTGGACCATTGCCAGCCCAGCCTCTAACAGAGGTAAATCTCGAGAAGATTGAGGATGCCGCTCCGCCCCCGCCTACTATGACACAAGCTAGCACAATCGCATCATCTACTGCTACACCCGCAGCTGCCGCCAGCATATCTGCGCCACCTCCGCAGCATACTGTTACAACACCTCAGCCTGCTCCAAGTCGACCTGTGCACAGTGGGGTAGTGATGCCTAAAGGAACACCAGGTCGTGGCTCAAGCTACAACCGGAGAGTGCTTGATCAGCAAGAGGGCGTTGTTATGCCTGGTAACCATGGTGCCGTTGAGCATGCTACTCTTCAATTTGGGAGTATGGGATTGAACGGTGATATCGATGATGATGAGGAAGTAGAGCAGGCCGAGACAGTATCGCAACCTCCGCAGCCATCTCCCATTGCTCAACCAGTAACATCACTTCCTCCGACTGGTCCTTCGCAATTGCCAGTTTCACAACCTCCTGTCACCGAAGCTCTCCCTACCCCTAGACAAGCACCTGGCTTGCCTGTTCACCCCCAGGCCGTACAACAACAGCCAAGCTCGCAGCCGCCGGTTGCTCCTCAAAGCATGACCCAGCAGCAACATCAATTGAATCCCCAATTGCCCAGTCACTATAATCGATACGCAATTCCCGAAACTCAAACTCAAACCAAGTCATTCGATACTTTTGCACATTCTGCTCAACAACAACCAATCCCCCCTCATCAACCTCAGGCTCAGACTCAACCTCAGGCCCAACCTCAAGCATATGGAAACTATGCTCCTTCACCCCTACAGCCTCAGCAGCAGCCCTCTCATATTGGCGTTGGCGTCTCAGCGGCTCCTGACCAGCAGCCACAGTACAACTATTACAATGATCGGTCACAACCTCCTGGGTTTGGGGCTCCCTATACCTCCAATTACATGCAACAGGCTCAATCTCAGCAGGATGCTGGCACTAGCCAACAACGCGCCTCAAGTGGATTAGGTGGTGCTACGGGGGAAGGTCTTGGTCAAGTTCCAACTTCCGCTGGTACAGCTAGCCAGGTACAACAGCAGACCTCGCGATACCCAGGACAAACAGGGGAGCAAGGCAGTGGCCATGCTACCCCGAGCCCAGCCATCCCTACTGTTCAACAGACCTCACAGCCCCATCAACCCGTTGGGCAACATCCCACACAAGCATTCCAATATGGGTATCAGCAACACCCTTACTATAGCCAATTTGTGCCCCAGGTATGACCCCAGGCCTTTGTTCTTGGTGCGCTAGTGGTGACTAACATGAGAATTTAGAGCTATTATAACCAACCCTTCAAGAATCACCAGGGCATGTATGGTTACCCCCCTACCTACATCTCCCCTCAGTATTCGGATCATACTTCGACGCCTGTGGGCCTTGGTGGATTTGGGGCGCCCTCTGCACAGGGCCGTGACGGTGTTGCTGGTCTTGGTGATTATAGCCGGATGAATACTACTGCTGCTCAACAGCAACAGCAACAGGCACTGCCTCAGCATACTTCTACTGGAGGCTACGGAAGCAGTATTCCAAACTTCTTGAGTGGCCGTGGGCTTCCCCAAGAACAGCAGCAATTAGGGGCAGGAGTTGGCCAACAACAAGCTGGTCAACAGGGCCAGACTGATGAATCGCTGAAATTCGGTGAAAATAAGCCACCAACTGGACCTTCGGGAACACCTTCAATTCCCGGACAGCCTGGAAGACCTGGATCTGCTACAAGTAGCCTGGGCCCTCAACATGGTGGACAAACCCCCGCCAGCATGTACGGTTCTCACTTGAATCATGGACTTCATGGACATTCCCCGAGTCAGTACGGTGCTGGTCAAGGCCAGAGCGGCACTAACCAATATTCCATGTATAGCGGTGGCTATCCTCAGTATGGACAGACAGGTGGTAGGCATGCTGGAGGCGGCTGGGGAGGCTATGGACATTAAGTGATGCACGCGATATTGCATTTGGGGAAATGTGAGATATTAAAGATGGATGCTGGGTGAATCTCTTGCTTAACATTTTTTTTTTTTCCTTGCTTTATTTTGACGCGTTATCATGGTTGTTGCAATGTCATATCTTTCCCTCCCCTCGGCCTACTTTGATTCAATGGCATACCATAATTTGCCATCATTCTTGTTGATTTTTTTTTCTTCTAGCAATTACTTTTACCTTTCCCTCCCCTTCGGATTTCCTTTCCTTGTTCCGTACGGATGGTATTTTCTGGTTTTTTTTGTTCAAGTCACTTTATAGGTTTTCTCGAGTTGGCAAATTTGCGCTGGGTGGGATTGGTTTTTCCGGTTTTTTGCTTAGTGCTTAAAAAGAAGAAAATGGGTTGCTGTTTTTTTTTTCTCTTTTTTCCTTTGATTGATACTTTATGATCACCACCACCAGGGAATGGGTCAACAAAAAGAAAAAAGGAGTTGGGGAACTGGGGGCAACGGGGGGGCATTTGGGCCAATGATCTTTTTTTTCACTCACGAAAAAAATTAGCAAATAATGCTTCTTCATTTTTTCTTCGATTGTATCCTTAGGGCTCACATCTTTTCCGTAGGGGTTTCGTCCTTTTTTTTCACTCCTTTCTTTCTTGGGGGTTTTCTTTCTCTTATACCGGTATCGTGGGTGTATTTTTCCTGGCTAGTATCTGCTTTACGGCGAAGGTTCGGGACGGTGGGGCGGGCACTTTCCGCCAGCCATTAAAGGAATGGGAATGGGAATGGGAATGGAAATGAAATGAATTGGACCAAGGGAGGTGAAGCTGAGGAAATCAGAAGTTTTAGGAATGGAGTAGGGAAAAAACATGAAAGGCGAAACAGGCGGGGGAGTTGCAGTCTGCCGTACAATTACTGTAACTCTGGCACCTCTCTGGCTCTTCCATTTCCCCAACTTTCTTTCTCTCTTTGCCATGTTTGGTCGGTTGTTGGTTTGCTTCGATTACGGTAGCCATCCCCTGTACGAATATAACTTTTGAACGCAGTCAATCAATCAATGCGCAATGGCTGTGGGCTCTCGCTGTGATGTCACTTCTCAGTACGGTGCAGGTTGGTGTTCTAGCGTTGTCAAAACGCTAGAAATATGGATGAAAACTAATGGTAGCGGAAGATGAACTGACCGACTTGACCACCCAGCCAACGGAAATATGAACCCAGTGTGTATTACACTCTAGCGACGCTGAACATAGCTCAGAGCATTCGCAACCATGCCCAGGCCTTAAAACAGTGAGCAGGAAGCTGATGCTGAATGGCAGTTTTCTAGTAAATATATGATACATAATGTTGTAATATGACTTCCAAATATGCATTGGTTTTGTCATTGACTATGACAGAATATTTTAATATGGATTCATTATGCGATTGAGCTCATTACACAGTTGACTACTACAGAGCTTCCTTGGAAACTCTATTGTGGCACTAGTTTGGTTATCTTACTCGTGTTTTCTTTCTCTTTACCGCTTGGCTATATTGTTTTGTTGTTCCTGTTTTTTCTTCTTCTTTTCTCTCTTGCACTAGGTATATGTCATAGGCAGCTGTAGTGCGCTCTCAAGTAGCATAAGTAGGGCCTGATAGCCCCCCTGTAGAGTATCAATCAAGGAAGAAGTACAACTTTAATCAAGAATTACAACAGGTTATAAGACCGGGTTAGTAAACCGCTATACCTGCCTTCCTTCACTCTCTACCTGTTAGGAATACTGGGATCCAATACCTAGGAACTACTCTAAGTAGGGTAACACCACTTGGAATCAGAATGTCTGGTCTTCAACACCCCTCTCGGGCTCCCTTAAGGGACCCACATGTCATCATACATATCGATCTTAGTTGTGTCCTGTAACTATAATACCACAGAGGTAAAGGTGTCAGAATATTACAATATATGTTGCTACCATGTGCCCGACTGGATCTTATTTGCAGGATATATGAGGGGAAACCTTTGGCTAGGTCTGGAAAGTAGAATAGAGTAAATCTGTCAACTACTCAGAGGGTTACTAGGCTTCAAATATGGAACATCTTAGGCAAGGGCTGTAAGTAATAGGACATTTTTGTATAAATATATAATATGGAATGTTGGAGGATCTCAATGAAGAGCCAACACATTCCCATTCACTGTACGATAATTAGAAGAGTTTAGAACTCTGAAGAACATATTCAAAGAAGCTAATGGTCTTCGTAGAGCTTTACAACTAGGTACAGAGATGCATCGCAGTTGTGAGAATTAACGCCAATACTGAACAACAACCAATACCCTGTTATCTAGGATGTTAGGAATACCAAGATCCGATAACTAGGAACCACTCTAAGTAGGGTAACCCCACTTGGAATCGGAATCTATGGTTTCCAACACTCCACCTCTGGCCCCCTTACAGGGCTTGTACATCATCATACATATCAACTTCAGTTGTGTCCTGTGACTATAATGCCACAGAATTGAAAATGTAAGAATAATACTGTATATGTCGCTGATGACCATGCAACAGAATCCTGTTGGCAGGGTATATGAGAGGATATCTTCCGCTAGGTTTGGGAAGTAGAATAGAGTGAATTCACCAACTACCCAGGAGGTTACTAGGCTTCAAAGATGTGACATCTTTGGTATGGGCCGTATGTAACAGGACAATTTTGCACAAAGAGATGATATCTCATGATAAAGGATTTCAATGAGAAACCAATACATTCACACCCACCCTACAATAATCAGAAGAGTCTAGAACTCTGAGAGATACTACCATAGAAGTTAATGGACTTCACAGAGTTTTACAACTAGGTTTCAGAATACATTGTAGCTGGGGGGATGATTTTGTTAGGCGGAGACAACTTGATAGACTTCAAAGTTGTCTAGGCCAATTGAGATTCGTTTCTATAGACGGAGATTGTCTAGGAAGGCTCGGACTTTGCTCGTTTCGTTTATGACTACTAGGAGTGAAGTAAAATAGGTAAAGTAGGGTAGAATCGTAAAAACAATATTATATTGTTAAGGTCTCTTCTCTGTTGCTTGATGATGTTTAAAGCTTGGGAGGCACTTCGATATTTATATTTCGCGTCTGAGTGTTCGTGGACTACATCTATTTATCATACAACTATGTACTTCTTTAATTATAATTCACAACGTCGAGTTTTCTTCCAAGGTGCGAACACCCGGGGACCCTGAAAACAATCACACCCTCTTCAGTAATTACGATATTTCTTCTTAGGAAACATACTGTCTCCAATAGTAATATCCCGATTAGCGGAGTCTTTAAACTTATGGCCTAGTTCTTAAGTCGAACTGAGTTGGCTCCAATTGTCTTCACCATTGATAAAATGATCAGTTTTATCCACAGCTATATCTGCAAAGATGGTCATCATTACAACCATCGTAGGTTGTCTGACTCCGATCCTTTGTAACTCCATACCCAACTGATAGATTTTCTTTAGATGACTTCCTATTAACTCGCAGGAAGCCACTCCACTAGACTGGTAATTAATCCCTCTGTCGGTAACCCTTGGTTGCTCTCTGGGAAGTAGGTTTCAGTAACTATTGTAGTATTGAGAATCACTCCATGGCTACGATGTGTTCCGAAACCCAGTTGCAACACTCCGTGAAGTTTGTTGGCTTCTTTGGTAGTATCTTTTGGAGTTCTAGACTCTTCTGGTGTACGTAAATGTATTGGTCTCTAGTAGAGATCCTTTACCATTTGATACCATCTATTTGTGCGAAATCGTCCTGTTACCTATGGCCTATGCCAAAGGTGTCATGTCTTTGAAGCCAAGTAACTCTCTGAGTAGTTGATGGAATTACTCCGTTCCACTTCCCAGGCCTGGCCGAAGGTCCCCTCTCATATATCCTGTGAACAGGATCTGGTCGGACAGACGGCGACGACGTATATGGTATTATTCTAATACCTTCACTTCTGTGGTAATATAGTCACAGGACGCAACTGAGATTGATATATATAATGACGCATGGGCCCTGTAAGGGAGCCGGAGGGGGGTTTTGGAGACCAGAAATTGCGATTCCAAGTGGGGTTACCCTACTTAGGGTGATTCCTAGGTATCGGGTTCTGGTATTCCTAACAGATTTTCAATACTAGAATAGTGATTGGAACCCTGTTACTCAGAGTAACCAAGGGTTATTGACTGAGGGATTATCTGTCAATTCGGTAGAATAGCTTTCTGTAAATTAGTAGAAAGTCCTCCAGAAGATATCTGTCAGTTGGATAGAGAGATATGAAGGTTTGAAGTCAGGTGACCTAGAAAGGTTGTGACTACGACTACCTTTACAGATACAACCGGCAGATAAAACTGATCATTATATCAATGACGGAGACAATTGGGGCCAGCTCAGTTTGACTTGAGAACTAGGCTATAAGTTTAAAGACTCAGATGATCTGATAATTACTATTGGGAATAGCATGGTTCCAAGTGTAACGATCCCTCTTTGGATAATTAGTTCTTGGCGATGGGGAATAATACTTCTCTTCTTCTCCTTCTTCTTTCCTGTGTCTTACGATAGCACTAGGCCTCTGCCTGCGTTACCAATAGTACAAGACCTTTGTCTTCTATCAGGAACGCCTATCGTAAGCTTTCTCTAACTGTTCTTTCGTGAAGAGCTTTCCTTGGCGTAACAATAAAGGTTGCGATAATGATAAAGATCATAAAGGTGTTTTATATTTGTTAAAATAATAAGTAGGAAAAGTACTTAGAATTCAATCTAATTTTATTTATACTAGTACCGCCAACACTGGCATACAACTAGTCTCCCCTCACGCTCCATAAAACAAACTATCTAAAATACACTACCGCGGATCATTCCACCCTGCAACCACTCCCTCCAAACATAAATCTAAAAATCGCTACCTATGTGGGTTCCCAGGCCCTCACAGCGACTAGCTCTGTTCCAGATTAACGCGTCTTTCCACCTCACTTTCTCAGCCACTGTCTCATGCTCTCACCCCTATTCGCTTCTAACATAA